GGTAATTCGAGAGAAGATGCGGTAACTAGAGATAAAAATGGGACTGACGGTGAGGGTGAATCAGAAGCCTCATTCGAAATAGCCCATCGTCGTTTAGATAATTCAACAGAAGCCATTTTAGGTGGTAGAAGTAATAATGATGGATCTGAAGAAGATTTGGACGATGAACAAGAAAATGATGGGTTAGAAGAAAGCGAGTTGGATGAAAGTGAATCAGAAGGTAATTCAGTAAATAATTTCAATCGCTTCAATCAATACTATTGTTTGTTTCAAGAAGTATATTAACATGGACTGTTTCGAATTAGTTGGATATTTTGATAGAGCACGCGAACCTGTAGGAAATCAAGGATCAAACGGTTCATCATCTTCACTGTCGCAAAGTCAAAATTCTGGTGAAGTCGAAGATGAATTATTTGATGATGATGAACAACACGATCTTTTCGATCCACCAAATGATGATGATAACGAATCCTATGAAGAATCTGATGATGAGATTGATTGGCATCTAGAGTTCTACATTGATGATTTGCGCATAAATTTTGATTCTACATTATTTGAGGTCATTTATCGGCATTTGTTACGAATCGACGTCGAACAATCAAAAGAAAAATTTTGGAATAATGATGATGAATATATAATTAAATTTAAAAAAGTGGTATCTGCTTTTCCACCATTCCCAGACCACTATTTTCCTACTAAATTAGGGACCGGGAATGATGCCTATGTGGAGCTTGTCACGCATTTCATGGCAATTCTCCATTCTATTTATGCAGATGCTGTTTCAGTTGATAAATATGATCCTAGTCCATTCGTGTCACAAGAATTAGAAACTCATATTGATATCGTTGTAAACCCGGTATCTATTTTGACGCGCGTTTTTCCTGACGCATTTCTCAAGATTTGTTCAGAGGTTCCATTTGTACTTAATCCGATGAAGCGTCATGAATTCTTTATTGGTAAGACCTTCGGTCTACTTTATCCCGAAAGGTTTGGAATAGACATTAATAATGCTCGTAAGGTGTTGAATCTGATTCGTCAAGTTCTTCCTGGACCTATGCAGGCAACACCATCTATATCCATGGACAATTTATTTGGGTGGATTCGTCAATATTTTGAAAAATATGCGATTACAGGGTCAAGACTCAGCGTTCAATTTGAAGGAGTTGGTGGGATTGGGGATGGTGTAGCTCGTGAATTCTTTTCTAAATTATCCCTTGAATTTTCACAAATTTGCCGTAAAATGTGGGTTCATGATGTAAAGTACAAAAAACCCTACAAACCAACAGATCCTATTGATAATGATTATGGATTATATCCTGCTTTGATGAATGATCAATTTGATGAAAAAACAGATGGGGAGTCGAAAGAAGGAATGGAATCAGTGGTGGATGAGTCAAATGAAATATCTAAGAAAGAAAATTTGAAAAATGAAGAATTGGGTGTCTTAGAAAACTTTAAACTTCTTGGCCAATATGTTGCGAAGGTTATATACGATGATCGAATGATTATATTAAGACTGAACAGAACTTTTATCGATATTTTGTTACATCCCGAACATTTATTGCGCAAACTTCCAAGTGGAACTGATCTAAACGAGCAAGATTGTTTGAAGATCATTGAGTTGATAGAGTCGGTCTATCCATCATTTGGATCTAACCTCAAGAAATTACTTAATAATAATGACCTTGACGAAAAAGATTGCATCCCATACGACATTATGACTGGTCGTACGACGTCGGTAGTTGGACCCGACGGGAAAAAAAGAGAGCAACCATATAGTGTTAATCATGGGAATGATTCGGATGAATGGGTAACGCGTATAAACATAGGTCGATACATCGCAGTATGTAGAGATTGGTTTTTCGATCGTGGAATAGCTCTGCAAACTAAAGCTTTCAAAGAAGGTTTTAACCGGGTATTTCCCATCGAAGTCATGCGAGAATATACTGCGACAGAGTTCGCGTTATATTTTCTACATCAAGGAGGTGATGGAGATTGGAGTATAGAAACACTGCGACAGTATGTTCAGTCATATGATGCAAACACTAGCAATGAAGAAGTCGAAAAAGTAATCCAAATAATGGCAGAGTATGATACAGACAACCGAAAGCGATTTTTACGCTTTGCGACGGGAAGTTCGAAGCTTCCAATTGGAGGATTTGAAGCTTTAAATCTCAAGGTATTTAGAGATTCTGCTTTGGATGAGCGTGCGTTGCCTAAGGCTCGTACGTGTTTCAATAGGCTTATTATTCCACCAAATAATTCGAAAGAAGAATTGGTTAGAAAGTTGGAGTTTGCATTTGCAAATTGTCCTGATATTGATCGAGGTTAAGTACAGAGCTGATATATTTAGGGTTGGTGAAGTCCTTAGGTCCGGGACTTTAAGACCTGGTCTTTAAACCTGGTCTTTAAAGACCAAGTCCAAATTTAAGGACCTAGGGTCCTTAGGTCTTTAAAAAGTCCTAATATACAAATTT